AATAATAATAATAATAATAATAATAATAATATCTCTTCCTGTTTGGGTAGCCAAACTGAGCAGAATTCATCATGGTTATCTTAATTAGTTCTTCTGTACTATCATAGTGATAGATATTTCAATAGATAAAATACATCATATATTCCTTTATAATTTGTATATCTGATTTCTGTCAGGTTCTGATTAAATAAGGACTTTTTAAAGTTATCAGTTCTAATTCTTTCCCTTGAAGTTGGACTCTGACAGGGCAGGTCCAAGTGAGTTGCCTGGGCATAGTCTTATGATGTTAACTGAACTGAGTTTGATTCCGGGACTCCCAATGAGATAAATAAGGTCCTCTGAACTTAACTTCAGCTACCTGTTGGTTAGATCCAGGCCTCTCTTGGGTCATGAAGACGGCCTGGAAGGTGACCTGTGGTTGGGTCCAGGCAATGGTGTCAGCCTCCTTGAGGGCAGAGATAGTTTCTCTGACCTTGAAGGAAGTGGTAGTACCCCCTCCTCCAGGGGCCATCACTGACCTTACCACTGGGGACAGTTACTGTCCGGTTTCCAACCTTCCCTTTGTGGCTGTACTTTCAGTGACCTTTTGCAGAGCTGGTATGGAGGTGGTGCATCCATCCTTGTGCTCCTTGATCTCTCTGTATTTTGATAACATTGACTATGGTATCCTTTTGGACTAGCTGTGGGAGTTGGATGTGGGGATCCTGTGCTGCAGTGGTTTGCTTCCTTCCTCAGTGGCCAATTTCAGTTGGTTTTGAAGAGGGGAGAGATTGTGCCCATAGCCCCTCACTAATGGAATGCCTCAGGGATTGATGCTCTCACCCCTCCTGTTTAATATTTGCATGAAACAGCTTGGTGAGGTCATCTGTACGTTCAGAATCCTCAGAATCCATAATCATCAGATTGTATCAATTGTATATCTCAGTTCATGGCTGCACAGGGGAAGCTGTCAATGTACTGATCCAGTGTCTGGAAGCTGTTCAGACCTGGATGGAGAGGAAGACTCAAGCTCAATCCATACAAGTCTGAGTGGCTGTGGCTATTTGGGCCACAGATCTGGCACATTTTCACTGTTGTTCTTTGATTGCGTGGCACGTCCCCATTCATGACTAGTGCACGATGTCAGAGTCCCCCTGCTTTGAGCTCCTGCTCAAAGGCCAGGAGGGCCTTTCCACAGGACCACCTTGTGTGCCAGTTGTACCCTTTCTTCAGTTTGGAGGCCCTTCAGACAGTCATTCATGCCCTATTCACCTCATGACATGACCATTACAATGTGCTGTATATGGGGCTCCCCTTGAAAACCATTCAGAAACTACAGCTAGTTCAAAATGTGGCACAGGCAATAATGGAAATTTCTTGCTACCCCCTTTCTCATCACTGTTTAGTGAGCTGCATTGGTTAACCAGTTGGCTTCCAACTGCAATTCAAGATGCTGGCTGTAACCTATAAAGGCACTTTATGGCATAAGGCCTGGTTATTTGAGGTAGTGTCTGCCTCTAATAGTTTCTGCCCATTTGTATGATTGGCAGAGTGGGTATGCTTTGGGTCCCTTCAGTTAAACTTTGTTATCTTGCAGGACCAAGAAAGCGTGCCTTCTCTGTCATGGGCCTGGTGTCTAAAATAGCATCCCCCCCGAGATAAATACAGTTCCCACCCTTCAAATATTCTGAAAGTCTCTGAAGACTTGGCTTTGTCCCCAGGCCTGGGGTTACATGTTTCTGGAGCTCTTGACAATGTTTTAGTTGTTATTCATATGGCTCTGTCTGGGCATTCATATTTTTATATTATGTATTCTTTTGAAACTGTGACCCCCCCCCCTCAATGTTTTTGGAGTTGAGTAGCCTTGAAATCTAATGAATAAATATATAAATAATATTAAGGTAACTTTATACTTGTGGAAAATTTCAAAATGCTTAGTTTTTTTTTTTTTCCCATTCTGCCGCATAGTCCAATGCATATTATTCAGAAGAAAGACCAGCTAAGCACAAGATTGCAAATTTCCGTAAATAGTAGGAAAATAGAGTTACTGCAAAGAGTTGGGTCATATGCACTTACTATTGATCCTATTGTTATCAAGATGAAGTTGCTCAAGGTAGATACTAATCGCTGGGACTATGGTGAGTTCATTGTATGATAGCTGAAGATCAAGAAGCGATGAAATATTAAAGACTTTGATTGGTAAACCACCATCAGTTAATTTATTGTTGTTCAGCCGTAGGGAAACTAATTTGAACATTGCATCAAAATAATTTTCAGGTATTGCTTCAATAGAATTACTGTCCAAAAATAGTTGCATTACATTAGGTGGAAGGATTGGTGGCATTTTTGTAAGGGCATTTTGAGCG